ATGTTGGGAGGACCTCCTTGAATGTTTCCCTTATAGCAGTTGGGCAGTATCTCTTTTTACAACTACTACTCTACTGAATGGAATCAAGTCTACTACTTCTGTAATCAGTTGTTCTACAATGGTTTCATAAAGATTCATCATACCATAATCGATTTTTTCTTTTTTTTTTCTTTGCCAAGGTTCCAATTTCGATTTTAGTGTTTTCGTCAATGTCAGTCTTTCCTACGAACCAGAACAAACTCTACCAAGAAATTTCCGTACTTAGCCGTATGTAACCTTGCCGACCGTCTCTCACCCAACGTATTATACATTGGACCAGAGGTAAAGGATTGAAGCAGTGCAATCACTACAGTAATCGCTATCCTGATCCACGGGTGCACTCAATGCTTACCAATTTTCATCCTCATCCCATTGCTTTTATATACAACGAGTACTTTAATTCCTGGGTGCTGATGCCTCTCTCTTACTCTCATACAAACTGTTGGTGCTTTAATGTCAGCAGTGTTTCAATTTATGGCGTTATTTTATTTACTGAGACGTTGACCCACATCTATCATAAAAAGTCAAAAGTTCGGAACGGCCAGCATAAGTGCATGCTTTTTTCGAAGTATAAACGCTCAAAAAAAGGCTGGCAGCGTTAATATTTCAACCCCAAACGCAATCAGTGTCATAAAGCATGTGAATGCATGTATTTTTGTATTGCTTTTTCCTTTAATGTGTATTTTCTTTTGTATTCTCTCATTATTCCTATGGAATACACTCTTGAACCAACTGGGTGGCGGACCAACTAATTTTGATCCCCCAAAAATTTTTCATTTGGCTAACAATACTAAGTAGGAATTAACAACTTTCAATATTCATAGCGCACTCTCAGTGTCTGTCAATATTTCTTCATATTAAGCTGTAGTAAGGGAAACTAAGCGCTTACAAGCCAATCCATTTTCAAACTTTTAGCCTAAATTGCCATGTTCCCCCTGATCTGGTCCGCCCAAGTCCTTCATCTGCTCAATCCATCACGTCCTAATAATCCCCTGCCTTGAGAGTTTCCTTTACTTGTAGTTGCAATGCTGTTTTTGATGTTATTTTGTAAATATACGATACATTCGAAATGGTTTTCGAACCATCTATTCAAATCGATCGATTATTGATCGATATTGAATCCCAGTTCGCACAGATGTCATATGCATGTACAGAATGATTGTTGTCATACTTTTTTTCTTATAATCATGTATTTTGTTGTCATGTCTTTTTCCCGTACTCTCTTTTTCCCCCAATTTTTCTTCTGTCATAATCGTTGTCATATCGCGGGAGTTGTCATTTTTATAGCGTCATAACGTTTAAAAGGTGTCATCCGTCAATGTCATACTATTTTCGATTTTTTTTTACTTTCGAATTCGTTTCATGCCCTTAATAATGGCTTTATAGAAACGAGATACTTGTGTTTGCATTTACTTTAACGACTTTTTTTTTGCTTTCGTAATGTGTTGCTCTGCTGTTAACTGCTGACTGTAATAAACTTTGAAAACTTAATTTTCTAGAAGTTTCTATTGAAAATTTCAATAAGAAGAAGTGTAGAGTCGATGTATCATGTTAGGGCTTCGGACGGGCGGCATAGTTTGGTTCCATTGAGAGATGTAGGTGCTGTTGGAACTGTTGTCGAGAATATTCCCATATCGTTATCCGTCTGTAGCTGAGACTTTCAAGTCAAGGTAGTACCAACATAAGGGTTTCTTACCAGGGACTTTTTCACAGGTGTTCCATCTGGAGAACATAGTTACTGGTAACATACTCTACCAATAGTAAAGAATAAGGTCTTGGGGCGTTGGTCAATCCAGTCTGAGGAATCCGCCCCGCATTCGTCTTTCATTCAGAATCGTACTGTCGTATTGAATACGTATATGGCCTATACGATGAGTTGCAGTGGCCAGCCGATATTCAAGTCAGTGCTTTTATCCTCCCAGATGAGTCTGTAACCAATTAACCGACCTCGGAGGGATGGGGGCCTGGTTAGCCTAGGCGGATATCGTTCCGGGATTTGAAACCGTGAACATGTGTGTGAGATAGTGCGCCACTTGCCCCTACCCCACTTGGCCCTTACATTTGGTCTGGATATGGGTACATTCACCCAATTCTGGATGGAAGCGGCAGACCACGCGGCAAAATTCGGGTGATTTGAACCACTCTGCCGCCTGTCACTGGGGCTCAAGTTTTAAGTAGTTTGGATAATGAAGTTTGGTAGATGTTCACGAAATTCAATTATGTTTACTTTGAAAATTTTCAGATTAGTTTCATCTACATAGTTTTTTAGGGTCCGATAAAAGGGTACATTCAATAATCTCCCTATCGTGCTGTCACAATATTTTCCATGACTAATCAAATAGAAACGACAGTCGCAGATGATTCGCATTTGTTATCGTTGAACGTTATCGCTCATTGCCGATACAGCCGATGAATTCTCAAATCTGCCCCTTCTCCCTCTCAAACCTCCCCAGAGACACGTTTGCTATTCTTTTTTCATAAGTGTTCCCCAGGCTAAGCTGGTCTCGCTACATGAATCATCACACTTGCCATGGTGCTGAAAAGCGCAAATCAAATCCCATAAAAACAGCATTTTGGAGTGACTGTAGCCATCTGCACAATTTTTGATTTGTGGTTTTTAGTTCTGAAGTAGACCTATCCATAGACAAAGGAATGAATGGTAATCTGAAAGGTTGCTCGAGAAATCAAAGGGTGATCTTTCTAATAAATCGGAAATCAGGTTAATTTGCCTTATGACTGATTGAACTCCCATGGACTTATGACTGATTGAACTCCCATGGACAACTAACTCTAACTCATATTTTCAACTAACGACATGTCCCCGTATGCTATGATAGGATCATGACTACATCAACCAAGCCATGCATATCCCCAGGGAGTCGGAGGAGTAGGATCAGTGCCTCTGAATGTTCTAAATGAAGGAAAACAGGTTCCACTGGGACAGGCGAACAAAGTATTCCTTTCACTGATTGGTTGAAGTCAAAAGCTAATCTCAGGCTCTAAACGATACAGTTTTGAAATAGGTCAAAACATTTCTAGTTAGGGTATAGTTGGGTCTGATAAGGTTTTTCGCACCCACGGTCATTTGGAGGGGTCAGCATACGTATAAGTCAATGCTATCATCCTTCCTGACAAAACGGTTACCGTTAAACTTTTACTTGAGCTGCAGACCTGCGTAGATACTGATTTGGCTGCTTTCATAGTCCGCGATTTAGGCCGCGAGCGTGCGAGCGAGCAGCGCTTGCCCTTTGTATATAACTGAATCTTGGTCGATACCGCCGGACGAGTAGTCCCGCGGCCGCGCGGCCCAAATCGCGGACTATGAAAGCAGCCTTTTAGAGCGATACTTGTGGTTATAGTGCCACTTTGCTCGATCCGAATCGTCAGCAAAAACGAAAAATCATAACAAAATCCTGGCAGCCTGGCAGCTCCTGGTTAACACATGGCCCAAATTTGACTACCGAGGCCACCTCAGATCTCTTATCTATGTGTATTACAAATAAGGACCGCACCGTAGTGATACGATGTTGTGGCGTAAAACGAAAAAGTTTGCCCGTGATGATTCTGCACCTACTGCATTTTATTTTACGGAAAAGTCACTGTATGAGTCGTGTGCCCGTAACAAACCTATGCCTTTTTCAATCCTTTTGTCCGATTTCTGTAATAGTTAAGTTGTGGTACTTGTTCACGTTAATACTTTATGGTAATCCCTCTGTTCCGTTTTAGCCATCGTCTACTTACCATCTGCCACCTCTTTTGCTACAATAAAAACGCGCTCCCAGTTTTTCGTCGTTTCGCAATGACACTGACTCATCGAACGGGATTCTTCGTCGTTCATCGATTAATGAACGTTCAACCATTGCCACCACTACGCCTTCTTTCGTCCCCTTCGTAACGATTTCTCAATTGCTATCGTTAAATGTTCGCTAAATCTAGAATGATCCAGAGAAAAAAGTATAAAAACTAGAATTAAGAGGTTAGCGATGTAAACTAGTAATAAAAGCAAGGGTTAGATAAAGGGGATGAGGTGTGTTTCATGTACCACGTGAGAGGGCTTCTGATAGGTCATTTGGGATAGGGAGCACACTGTTATGAAAGGTTCAACAAGAGTGAACTTTGGTTACTTGAATACATTCTGTGTTCTGGGCGTCCTTTCCCTATTCCGTGGGAACGTTTTGGCTTCACTGGAGGTTGGACAGGCATTGACTAAGAGGTTTTGTTCGACACTGAAAGGAAGTTATTAGTAGGGCATTTCGAGAAGATTCCCGATCCTGTCGATCGAAGAGGAACACAATTCAATAACGGTTCCGTACGGTCAATGATAAGTCTGCTGTGTGTCAGTGAATTCCCTCGGCACTTATTCTAGAAGTTGCTTTTTCTCATATCATATCCCATCCCTGTACAAGTGCCTAATAAGGGCCCAGAACTTTATAATTTCCATTCATTGGTTTAGCTAGACTCATCAGGTGGTGAGATGGTCAATAATGGTAGGAAAAAGTCGTACAAATCGACAGACGAGTGATAAGATAACGACTCTGAATTGCGGACAGCATGTTTCTTCTCTCTTGCTGGCTCATTTGATGGATAGTTCATTTTCTATCTTGCTTTCATGCACCGAATTTCAATACCATTTTCTTCTTCAGCTGTAACTCAGAGAGTCTCTTCTGTAGTTTTTATCGCTCTTGAAGTAGATATGGAAAAATACTTGGAAATAGCTAGCCAGTAAAACTGAGATTACCATAGCTCAGCTGGCTGTCAGTAGATGATCGATTTTTTCAAAGCCGAACTGTTATCAACCCTTTTCTGTCGCAATGCTCAAGTCATTCTGTCCTTCAAACCTTTGCTATCTTCCGCTATGCTGATAAAAATTAAATTTTCGTGAATGGTTACTGAAATTCTCTACAGTAATGGTTTTTAGACGTGTTTATTTGGAAACAGCATTAGCTGTCGAATAAAGGAGGATGCAGCACAGACGACAGGAAGGTTCGTTTGTTTATTTTGCTAAAAAAAAAGTAAATGAAATTTGTGAGGTTAGTTGCAACGTTAACACTTTCGTTGTGATGAGGAGCGCATCAGAACAAGGAGCGCCGTACTCCGTCAGTACCGGATGGTCGTTTCAGGACCATTCGTCCTCAAATGGTTTAAGTAAAGGACCCTGTTGCGACCAATCGCAGCCATCGCACGCGGCGACCATGTTGGCGGCAGTGGCTGCTTTCATACTTCGACAGGTAGAATCGTGCGTGCGAGCAAGCGAGCGTGTTGAGACAGCGACGTTAGCCAAATGTGACAGCCCTGGCACGTGGTCCATCGGCGTCCAATACTATCGACACCTTTCTAGCGCCGCATTGCATAGCCGCTCGCTTGCTCACGCATGTAGAATTCCACGACTACCTGCGTGCCGGCAGGTAGAATCGTCGAAATATGGGTTATGTGTACGAACGTGCGTCCGAGGATGCGCGCGGCAAATTGCGCGGCGAAGTTCGTAATGATTTGAACGACTTTGGCGTTTATCATTGGGGCCCGAGTTTGAAATAGAGTGGACTAGGAGGATCATCTGACCCTAATAAACTACACTACTTCGAGTTTGTGCCCCGGAAATTGGCGCCGTGGTCGTACAAATCCTCACGAACATCGCCGCGCAATTTGCCGCGCGCACACTCGGACCGTTCGTACCGTCCCCCTCGAAATATGAAAGCAGCCAGTGACCCGTCGAGCGCGGTAAGTGCATGGATCATCTGCAGGGTAATGTATTATTCACAGGCCTTTTCTCTCATTACGTCAGGTTGGCCTAACCCATAGCACAAGGCATCCTAAACATTCCTTTACACGGCTCCTCAACCTACGTTTTTCAAATTATATGTGGCTACGCTGAAAAGGCTCTTTAATTTGAAGGTTCAGGTCATGATAAAAATGGATGGTGTCTGAAGTATTCCCTGGGATGTATCTGTATCTATCCACAAAGATAGCACGTGCTACGCTGTCGGGTCGAAAAACGACCCAGACAGCGTAACAGGGAGGGAGTAATAAGGGCTTCAAAACCAGCCTAGCCGGCGCATGCTTTCAAAAGTGGCCGTGTTTTGACGGCCTTGCTAAAGCTGCACCATTTATATTGTAGCACACCTTTTGTGCTTACTGTTACCAGTTCTGCGTAACAGCACACAAAAGAGAGCCCGTCTAGAATACCCCTTCCATGCCACTTTCGTCGACATAATCTCGTACAATCCAGTTCTTCACTAGCTTTAAAGACATTTTTTCTTTTAAATGGCGCCTTCTCTCGCCACCTTGCCCTGCTCTTCACCATAATTTCCGCTGTTTCGCTCAGTTTAGCTGCTCAAAGTTGTCGTGAGGTGTGCTTTTGAATTGTCCCGTTCCAGTTACAGCCATCCATTCAATTGTTACCACACGGCTTCCAATCTATTACCAGAAGTTCGAGTTCTTCTAGAACATTTTCTATCCTTTTTATCAGCATTAGATAACTGTAAAACATTTCTCACATGAATCCCTTCATGTGCGAATTCTAATAGAGAATTCACCACTAGTTATAAGATCGGTAGACTCAGCGGGAAAACTGCCGTCCCCGTTGGTTAACAAGAAGCCCGAACAAAGATTCGTATTTTGCTTCTTCCGACGACGCTGTAACGCCGCATTAAAACACGTATATTAACTCTCACTTTTCAAGGCACACAAGGTAAAGAAGAAGGACTCGGTAGGCGAGCAAAATACAGCAGGTAGTATGAAAACATCCCAGCTGCAACGTTCTCCTGCATCCCACTTTCTTTCCCTGATCTGGAGAAAATTTAATGCAGTGTACAACAGTTTCCAAGGAATGTAAAGAATTCTCTAGAACTAGTCGTTTGCGGAAACCATCCAAAACAGTCTTCGCTTTGCTACGAAAGATTTCACTGCGGCCTTTGCCGTGCCGTTGCTCAGTGTAAAACTACTTCAATATCTATTTGGCAAATATTGCGGTCGTTATGGAAAGTGAATAGAATGGAGTAAAATACTTGATGGAAGGCAAGGGAAAACCGGAGGAATGCGGAATGGATGACTGGCACATGCAGGCATACGTGATGACGTCGGAAGTGCGATGGCAGGGCAGGGAATTCAGTACGGACCCGAATTCTTACCGTAATTTCACTATGGCCTCGTAATACTAGTAGGAAAATTTCCTGGGCAACACGTAGTAGTTGCATACTAGTAGCATAAAGCCCTGGTGTGTTAACGGTTAGATTTTCGCTACTGCTACTGCCGTCGATCTTCCTAGACATTGGATAACGGATTTGTTTATACTACAATTTTTCTTACCGCTATGAAGCCGCTGTTAGCCGCTAAAATCTTTCATTATGCAAGATCAGTGGCCAGTACTAAGCGCCTTTGTTTGTGAATTACGCATAGTGATACATTCAGTGTCTATGTTGGTATGTGTAACTATTCAGCAAATGAAGTGAGAACCTTTAATAGCTTTGAGTATTTCAGAGGAATACCTCCAGTCATTTCAAAATCCAACCTATCAGACAAGTGAGTTTCTTGAATTGACTTCCTTTTATTCGTCGAGTCATTATGATTAAACTTCGAAAACCATTGATCAGTAGCTTGGAAGATTACTTGGTGTACTTATTGGTGTGTTCGCAGTGCAAGTAGAAGTGTCTACTACGCCTAAAATAGGTCTTTGAAGCCTAAAGTAGTCGGCAGCGTGGAGTTCCTGCTGCTGCTGTGGATATTTTTGTACCCCTTTGATCGACACCCTTTCCTCGTTACGCTCATCAATCTCAGTTATTCTGGCTGTTAATTACATATTGGAGTGAGTTTCTTTCTCGACATTATGCTTCCTAATTATGGAAGAGTGTTAACTTTCGCCTTCCACCGCCACTTTCCATTCTTCTACCCTGCTCGTGATGTTGTTTCCCTTCTTATTGCTTTGTCAAGTGCTTTATTCACATAGAGAAACGTTCCNTTGTTGACTGCCACCTGGCAAGACAAACTGAGTGAAGGACTGTTTAGTCGCGGGTTCGCACGGGGTAGTGGTTACACAGCAATTACCATAATCTTCCCCATATCCCTACACTGTACCCATCGACAAATGGTTGGTGCGGCTGGCCCAGCCTGCCGCTCGGACAAAGGCCAAACACCCGTCACCGGGTGAGACGGGTGGTCACAAACTCTGAAACCCGGGGGTCTCGTTTCTAGGTCTCTGGGACCAATCCTTGGACTGTGTCTTCTCCAATCATCGTCATCACGGCAATGCAGATGACCAAGCGAAGGCTTTCTCACAGGGACCAGTTACTAAGAATTATTCAATTCTGTATGATCTCTGGAAAAGAGAGAGTAAAATTACTCATAATAGTGGCATGTTCAGTGAAATGTAGAAATTTTGTCTTCGAATACAATTTTGTCGAAATTGTCGTTCCAAATAGTTGTTTACAACTGATCGCAAAAGCTTTAGAAGACAAATACAATAGGTTGTTTTGCACGTGGCGAATAATATACAATTTTATGTTACGACTAACAGGCAACTTGACATTTCATTTTTTTTGTAAAATTAATACTTCAAAGTCAGTCAACCAAGTGTGCCTTTCGAATTTCATGCGTAGTTCTCGTGTTAAGACTACTGGAAAACATAAACAACGATAAATAAAGGCACAATTGGAGGTTGCATTGACCGCGCTGGAAAGCACAAAATTCATTGTAGAACGCACGAAGGAATTAGTTTATATTTTTGTTATATCAGGTCTCCGAGGTGATACCTTTGATGAATGGAATTAATATAAGCAATACAGATTCATTTTCGAGCATCCATACCTGAACAAATCGGCGATATGAGGCCATTTTAAGAATAGCCAGCTTCAAAAAATGAGTTTTGCTCCATTGGTTTAATTTCGTTTTCATCAAAAATAAGAGGCAATCCGTTTGACAATGATCCATCTTACGAGAAAAATTGGTTGCCATGGGAGAGCGGCAGCCTGTTTCCTAAGCGGGCACAGCTGTGCTTAAGCAGCCTCCATAATTCGCAATGTTCAAATCCGATCGGCGCGCCTCCGCTTGGAACGGCACCCTTGGCATTCAGAGTTGGCGTTAATCACGCACGCATGAGTCACGCATGCGGCGATCGATACATCATGTGCCTTGTATGAACCAGTAATGAATCCTCACTGGCTTTACATAAGGTTTCGATCCAAAACTTCAAGAAATCGCTGAAGTTCTGCCTGTAGGGCCAGATTTCATTCTTGGCAAACAATTATAGGATGTCGTTTGCGTTGATACGGTGCCGCTTTTGTTCCCAGCAAATCGTAGAGGGAGTTTACCTATATACCTGTGGAGAAACCGTCGAATTATTTCCATCATTTCACTGTATGAAGAACGCGACAAGGCGAAGTAAATTCTGAAGCTTGACGGTACCTGCAGAGCGCCTGTTACTATGGGAATATACGGAAAAGAACGCATAACTGTGCTTCAAACTTCGAACGCAACTTCNGGTTTGTGAGCGCTTAAAAGTATTTCAGTTTTTCTTCCGAGTCTTTTTTTCAATTTTGTAGCATTGAGGGCGAGTTCGGTGAAGTGGTAAGTGCTCCCTATTACACACGCATGTTCCTCCTAGGTCGAATCCCTGATCGATACTCGCCCAGGCCATTCGAACCTTCTATCTCTACCGGGCTATCTAGGTACCAGACACGTCTGGGAGAATAAAAACACGGACTTGTTCATCGACTGGACCTGAGTCATTGTATAGGCCGAATACAGTGACAAATATTGAATGAAGCAATCGCATTTTTAGAAATGTGTCCCACATTTGATTCGGTTCAAAGACTTTATTCTCTATTCTTCATCTTGTGTCATCTAGTGGCGAAATAACTTTCCCTTCACCACACTTTCCATTTCAACCGTTCGCATTTGTCGGCAGCCGTGGACGCCTATGTTGCAGCGATTTAGATTGATACATGGCGACCAAGGCTACCTTCTGCCAGGCAGAATACATACAATTCAGCGNTGTTGAATAGCCGCTCTTATGCCTTGTTTTCTGTCCGGATTTTGTCTCGATTTTTAGTTCGCCATATGACTCATTCCTAAAGTCGAATCAACTGGGAATTCGTAATGAATGGCGCCTAATACATCCAAATATTTTCATGATGGAATACCTAATGCCTTTTAGGTGCAATCTCTATGGGCTGTCATCAATAATAGTGATATCAGCAACAGTAATACTATGAAAAGTGATCGTGACAGCAACGTTTTACCCAAGGTTTTCCCACAAATAACTTCTATACAACCTCTCCATCAGTCCTTGGAATGGAATCCAACTGAAGTATGTGAAATTATAGAAAGGAACAGATATGCTTGCTTTGAAACATACGGTCTGAAGTCGTCCGGCCATCGACAATCGCGCTCCAATACCAACACCTCACCTCTCTGCCACGATCGATTGTGACGATGTTTTCGATATTGTCCGTCTGTGCGCTATTTGCCTCGCCCGCTCAGTCGTTGTTGTGGACCGCCGTCACCCGGTTCGCCTTCGCACTTTTTGTCATCCAGGAAGCTGGTACTACTCCTAGTGAGCGCTACTCCCTTTTTAAAACCCCACCCGCTTCATAGCTGAGAGTCTGGGATGGTAAGGCACGTGTTATCCCGTGTACGAGAATATGCAGCCCGAACATTAATACCCCCGGGTTTGAACTGAAATAGTAGGAGCTTGTCGAGTACCTTCTTTTTGAGGATGCTATTTGCGGTTTCTTTTTCCACATCATGTCTAGGTCAGACACCCGTATCTAAGCGAAAACAATAGGGCATATGTGGGGGCTAAAAACAGCTCGATACCGCAAGCAGTTAATGGGGGTTTTTCTGGAAGGCCTGCTCCGAATAGATGTTGCGATCATTGCAATTATGTTGGAATTTGATCCCTCGTTGTTTCATAGATGCTCGAATAAGCTGTCCATCATATGAGCTGGACCGAGTATTTTGTTATCTAGGGCTTCGTTTCGGTAGCAAATTTGCATAAACTTTGTAAAAAAAACGTTGATTAGTCCATATTTGGTCAGCTTCCTTGTGTAGTTTGATATTACGGCTTGACAACATTTGTTTTGAGTGGTGATGGTGATTGAATCAATACATGCCCAAATAGCGTGTGTGTGGGGGAATGGAAGAACACCCCCATGCACGTTTTATGTCAGTTGAACACTATCTTGTGTTCCTACATTTTGTTCAATGGTCGTCGGAGTGTAGCCCAATCCATCTTGCATTTTGTCTACTTCCTTTGATGTACAGTCGCGTAGAGAAATTTCCAGAATGTGGTGTTTCCTGAATCTCTTTAGAGTCATTTTTATTCGGAAATAGGCGCTCTGATCCTCTTTTCGTGGAGTTCATTGCCATAATGCTGTGGACT